TTAGTCCTAGAGCTCAAACTGAAACACAATTTATAATTTCCATTACTTTTCCTGAAAACACAAAGTTACAACTGAGAGATTTTTACTATACTGTATTGTTAGGCAGGAAATTTCAGCACAGGCCTAGATATAATGTAACACCCTGATTAGATAACTATCTCTTTGTTAATTATTTTTTTATGCACAACAAAAATATAGGGTACAGAATACACTTTAAAAGTTACTCGTAAAAAGACTAACCTCACCACAGCATAACTTTTCTTTCTCCTTTAGCTTTAGTGAAGCTTGGTAAATTCACATCAGGCATAGACTTGATATGGCATGTCTTTGGGGTTCATTGCATTCCCCCCAATGAATTCCCTATACTATAAAGGACCTTGTGCACTGCTTGCTTTGCACGCAGAATGATGAAGATTCCGTGTGGTCTGATGGTAAGAGAGCTACGACAAAATTTGAGTAGGTACTACCAGCTACATTTTGAACAATTTCTGCATAAGCAGGAAGGCCTTATTTTAAAAACATTTATCTTCTGTCCAGGCCATACATTACTGTTTAATTTGACAGAGGAGAATAAAAATTAATAGGAAATTCTCCTTGTAAGAAATGGAGAGTGTCTTGCAAGACAACTGGGATATAAATACTACAGAGAATGTATTTCATATAGTAATGGAAAACTTTCTCCAAGATAGACTCATTGTTTTCTTTGAAAGAAATGTGGATTGAGAGGGATTATGCAAGAATCTTTCATCTGAAATTTTTTAGATTTAAATTCGCATAACTGAGTAATGAAGACAATCATTGTGGAAGAAAGAACTGTTATCATGTGAAATTAATATCAACTTCCACGTAGCATTCACCACTCCTAAGAACCCAAACCCCCTATTTTCTCAGGTGTCCCATTTGAGCTTCACACTCACATGTCACTCTCACTACAGATGGGTCTCTTACACTATATTTTTTGGCTCAACCTCCTTCTGCTTATGTCAGATATGCAAGGTCTCTAGGCTTATTAAGTGCTTCAAACAGAGCAAGACAGACAACTAAAGAGCACCTTGGCACATGCTTGACCACTGCTCTGATGGGGCCCATCCCATTTAAGTGTTAGTGCACTCACTTGTATGGTTTTCCCATACGAAACTAAGCAGTGCTGCAGCAGGAGTGAGGAGCTTTACAGACCAGGAATCAGTCCTGACCAGTTCTATGCCACTACCATCATTTTGCAAGCACAGCACGGGAAAAGCTAAGCCATATGGATGCCAGCCATGTCATGCTACTAGTCCTCAGGACCACAAAATGCCCTTCCTAAATTTACTAATACAAATATACCCTTAAAAGTCAGCTCTCTGAGTACTCAAGAAGAGATGGCTGACATCCAAATAGAAAAGCCTGGAGGTTTTCATAGAGAAACAGGAACTCTTACTGTAAGAGCCTGCCAACTGCAGAAACAGATGTTTTATGTGCTGCGGAAAATCTTCGATAGTTACTCCCCACTGAATCAAACAAAATGAAAAAAAACCCCAAACCCAAACAAACAAACAAACAAAAACAACCCTAAAAATGAAAACAAATCTGGGGTCACTATCAGTTTAACACAGAATCAGAAACACTAAAAACATAGTTCTTTTTGTCTGGAATTAAAGCAGTCAAGCTGATAGACATGTGTATTTATGCCCTCAAAAGAAAAAAACATGAGAGCTGGCCAAAAGCTGAGCTCTGATGTGCCTTCACAAGTTCCTCTCAGATTCACAGATAAAAATAGATGTTCTATCAGTGGTCAAGCAGACTGCAAGGAAAAGGCTAATGTGTCCTAATAAAAGAGGATGTGGAAATGAAAGACAATAATTTAAAAGAAAAGTAATAGTAAAAATATGGACAAGATTGCCTGTGGCAATGCAGGACACCCACTCTGCCTATGTTTGACATTAATTTGGACTAAAGCATGAAACTACTGTACTGCTAAATGCCATAGAAAATGAGGAGCCAGCTAAATCCTGACAGGACTACAGAAAGAGAAGACCATTAAAAAGATGTGATGACTAAAGTAGTCATGCCAAGTTGGAAGGAAATTGGAGAAATGGCCTTCCCCTGAAACTAGCAAATTTAGTTCTTAATGCTGGGACTTCACAACAGCCACTGAGGGACTGTAAACTTTGAAACATGAGGAAAATACACAATGAAGAAACTTGTTCAAGGAAAGAGGAGCAAGTATTTGTAGTAGACTAGCAGCTCATGAAGAAAACTGGCTGCACCCGGACTGAATAACAGAGATTCAGTTTAAAAAACCCCCCAATTTAACATGTCTGGCTTTAGAATATACCGTAATGTTTAAGAGCACTGAGGAAACTGAGATGAGAACTTCAAAAACATGCAAATAGGAAATGACACAAAGAGTATGCTTGCTGGAAAGAGTACACTTGAGAGCATGTTTATGTAGGGCATGAGGGCTGCAAGGGATTTAGGCATGATGTTCACATTTCTGGGGAAAAGTTGAAAGGTTACCATGACCAAAAGAATGAAATAAAATCAGATGGATCTCAAGAGACAGCATGACTGACTGATATATCCATGCTTTCAAGAAATAATTGCTTCTTCTGGCCCTTACTTTTTCAAGAAATTTTGGTAACGTGCAGAGTATTTAAGAGTGATTACTGCATAGAGATTTGAGATATTGAAAAACTTCTGGAGCTCCAGTAAATTACTGAGCCTTAGAAACCTCTTATCTTATGTGTGCCTTAGCACTGTCAGTACATTAACTTTTACAGTTTGACCATCAAATTTCTTTTCTTGAGCAGCATTCTTCCTTTATCATTTATTTCATGATTCATCATGAAAGTTTTTGAAATTCTCAGGTGCATGTATGTCCTCACATACCCTTCCAGTTGTGGACCCATATTTTATAAAAGTGCAACCCACTGTCTTCACCTGACATACTTTCAATTTAAATTTGCACCTACGTACATGACATGTTCTCAGTACATTAGCAGCAGAATGGATTGCAAGGTCCAGATTGAAAACAGTCAAAACAAAATCAACACAAACCAAAAGAGCTATGGTGATTCAAAGAATAGCACTGGGTAGTATTGGTTCCTGAGTGACAGATTCCTCACCATAAACAGAACTGCAGTATGTAAAACTGTAAGTGGGCACAAGGGAATTGTGGCTTCATGTAGGAATCATGTATTTTTCTAAAATACAATTGAAAAATGAGACTATATCACTTCACTGAGCTTTAACATTATAAAACGGTCTAAATTGTCCCTTCTGCTCTTTCACATTATATTAGTCTTTTATTCCTCAAATACAGGAAAAGGAAGAGGTGATAGGTCACCCAGCACTAACTAAAAGTTCACATAGGTATTAGCCAGTGTGTTAACTCATAAAATTTATGTCTCCTTCAGTACTACAATGTCTCTACTTTCCTCCTCTGCAACATGAATAGATATCTCCTGTTCTTGCCTCCAGTAGTGCTAATTTGCACAGTGGGGGACTGGTGAAATGGTTGCAAGGTAAAAGGCGTTTGAAAGCTGCCTTTCAAAAGGTCCTTAAAATGAAAAAAGAAAAGGAAAATAAATGAAGAAATGACTGTAGGAACAAGAAAAACAAAAAAGGAGAAAATGTGAAAAGAGAAAATTGAGAGAGATATTAGAAATAATTTTTCCTCTGTCCTTTCTTAAAAAAACATACACAAACACAATAGTCATGAAACAGAGACAAATAGCACTTTCAGAAAGAGATATGCAGAAGGTAAGCACCACTATTGACCATGTTATTTAAGTCTGTAAGAGTGAAAACAATACAGAATATGTTACACTAGATTCCATACAGGTCTCCACCAACCTTTAACTTACAGAATAAATTTGTGGAGGGACAGAAGTAATGGCAGTAGAGTTAGAGACAGGAGAGAACATCAGCAAAACTAAAGCAGAATTGGAAAAAGAATAGATGAGGGGGAAAAAAGAGAAAGTGGTATGTTATAAAGTGTAAGAACTCGATACAAAACTCATAATCGAAGTGTAAGAACTTGATAAAAAACTCATAATCAAATCAGAATGGTCTTTAGATCAGTCGTGGTTAAACATTTCAGAAAATGAAGAAAAAAGCCTGCACAGAAGACCACTGTAGAATAATCTGCTATGGGAAGGCTCTTCTCATCCCAAATCAAATAGATCATACTAATGCACAAAGTATGGGGCATATATTCCTTTCAAAACATTCTCTTTTTAGATGGTTAATGGTTTTTAGACTTCTCATTTTCTTATAAGCTACACAGATGTTTCAGATGATGTGTGAAATGGAAGCCTACATAAACTGAAAGTTCCTAAAGATGCCACTCCAAAAACAGTTTTTCCCACTTCTGCTTTCAGGACAGAATTACAGTCTTCCTCAACAACATTGTCTCTTAAACAGAGCTTAGGAGAGACACTTGTTGCAATTGTGGTATCATATTAATGTGAATCACTAAACAGTTTTAAACCTGAAAACTACAGGTTTAAAAGCTACATGGGTATTTTTATTTTTAAATGGTGTAGAAAAAGTAGAACAAATTAACATTTTCTGTGAAATTTCAATTATTTGTGAGAATGTTTAAGAGTTGAGTACACATACAGAATTACTGTGTAATTAGGGAACATATTTATAATTGCGTCAACAGCAGCACTAACTCCTCATTAGCACCTCACTTCTCTCTGAAGTGCATCATTGTGTTCAAGACATAAGACCATGAAACTAAGATACAGAGCAGCTATGTTACTTTCCTGTGAAAGGCAGGATGTCAATGGCCAGATCTAGGAGTAAAACTCACAGGGAGGCAAATTACAGGGGTAACATGAGAGAGGCAAATTCAGTGCCACACGTCAGTGAGCAAGCTTTCAAGAGAAGTATGCCACCATATGCTGGGTTGTGAGATAACTGAAGTATGTTGCTATTTTGATCAGCTCATGACTGTTTCTTGCCCCTGAAAAATGCCTTACTTTCAACTGCAGCCACTATTCAAGACGAACCTCCAGCAGTGCTCTCTGGTGTCCATCAGGCCCAGGGCTCAGACTTTTTCTAACTCCTGCAACTATGACCTTCAAGCCTTCATCACTGAACAGATCTGGAAGCTCTCCTGTGAAAAGATAAAGGAGTAGGTAAAAGAAGCCTTACACAACACGTGACAAATAATCTACATGGTATTTAGCCCCATGGGGTTTAAGCACATAACTAGAGCTATGCTGGTACCAGACAGATCCAGTCACAAAAGAGTCTTCTCCTGTTCCCTATGCCTTTTTGTCTAAAAAGAAGTTTTTCTATTTCTTTAAGGGAAAGGAAATGACATTTTTTTGAAATGACAAAAGTATTTGCCCTGATAGGAAGTTCACTCATAAATTATGTATGCCTCAGAATAGTGGTTCCTTTTTTTCAGGTTGTCAGTGAATTGTTTATAAGTCTGGTTGCAAAAGTAAATAGTAACTTTTTAAAAAAATCTTTCAAGATGCACTCCAACTGTGCTGAATATTATTCTCATTTTTTCTTCCATTCTATCCCTAGATCCCCACATTCAGAATCCAGTTCCTCTAATCTTCAAAACATGGGCAAAACTGCATTGCTGCATGTTACACTTGTGCAGTCATGAAGACAGTGCTTGAACTTAGTGAAATCACACCAAAGTAAACATAGCATTAAGTCAAAAAGAGATTTCCATTTCCCCCCAAACCATTGTACTTAGGCATGATTAGCTTCAGCAATTTGTCTTCTCAGTGGGCAATTCTTTCTTAAGCAAGTTAGATTCAATGCTCAAGGTGTATGGGTTGACTTGGCCTCTTTAAAAGCTCTCCCTACAAATACCTGAGAGAGAAATAATCTCTTTAAAGTTCAATGAAAACACAGATCATTTGTCATTGGAAAAGATCTTTCAAGAAATGTGTTGGTTTAATCACCTGATGCCAACAAGTCATTAATCAGCACAAAAAAGCGTTCATCTGGAACTTGGGCATCTGTCAGCAAAAACACTGTTGGCATGTTCTTGGCACCAGTCTTGATGTACAAACTGGCAAGATCTACCTGTAAGGAAAGGAGGCAATCACTCATAATCTGTTACAATGTTGATACAGGAAAAGTGTGGAATGCATGTTAGCAGATGGCAGCACACTGCTGACCTCTCTTTACTTTTCTCGCTTTATTTACATGTCACTAATTTGCTACATAATATCCAAAGGGAGATGCAGTTTGTGTTTTTCTTCCATATCAAACACGGACATTTCGACATGACCTAGTGGTTAAGATCAAAGAAATCCTCTCATCAATGTAACAGAAAGAGATATTGCAGCCATGAAAGTCCCCATCAAGAACAGACATGACTATACCAATAGTGTCTGGGAATTGCATTGAAGATCCAGATTAATTTTAAATTCTGTTGTTTCTGAAAACTTGTTTTTTTCTTTAGTGAATTTATTTAGGAAGGCTTTCCCATGTGAAAAAAAACCCCTAACCAATTAAACTGAGGTGTGCTCTGGTGCACTATTACTTTGGCTACGGCCCAGACGGAGACATGGTTGGGACCATTGTGCTAATAGTGGTACAAATATGGAATGCTTTTTGGCTTGGGTTTCCAGAAAGAAAACAACCCACATCAGTTGCATTTGAGTGCAGTCACATTTGAAACACAGGATAAGGTTAATGCTGGCTGTTACGAACAAGCTGCCACACAACCTAGCAAAGCAAATCCTCAGGCTTGTTAACAGAGGCTTAGAAGTTTCCCTGCTTGGAAACAGCATGGGGGAAATGACCACTTAAGCCCACATCTTACATTGCACCTCATTTGATGAGGGAAGGAGGGCACAAGAAGTTAAACACCATGAGGACACTAAAAAACACACAGCATTTTTCAAAGCAGAACAGCATGTACCTCCCTCCGAAAGCCAAAGGTTTAAAAAGCCTTGGTCTACACACACTGTGGTGGTTTGGCCATGGCCCAAGGCTAACAGAAGGGCTTTTTGGGGACAGCCATCCACCAAATCTGACCATAATTGGATTGTTATTTGGCCAAGTCTGAGATTCGGAACTATTGTTTGTTGTCCACACGGAGTAAAGAGGAAGAAAATGTTCCTTTCTTCGCTGTTTGCTCACACAGATAGGGCACAGGTAGACAGTAAGCCTGATAAGAGCACTTCACTCAACTACAGTCCTTGCCTTTGCATATGGACAGTTTAAGTGACTAAATGACAACATATGACAAGGAGAACATTTCTTCTTGTGTTCCTCCACTTCAATTTTATACCCCTAAATCAATAAGGGTTCAATGATGCGCAAAAATTTGTAACAAACTGCTAACTACCAGAACTCCGACCACATCTTTGTAACCTGTGAAGTAGCCACCTTGGAAAAAGTGGAGAAACTACCAAAATTCTGTGAAGCGTTTAAACAGACATTAAAATAAATTCTGCCCACCCATTTTTCAAAAATAAAGAAAACAAGAGGTCCAGCTGGAAACCAAAGGGGTTGTTACTTTAAATTCTACTGTTTCACCTGTGATTTTGTCAAGCCTGTGCAACAACAAAACACATTCTTGAAGCAGTGAACTCAAAAGGTTCAAATAATATCTATCAGTTTACCCTGAGGTCCTGCATCCCGTAATCTTTCTTCTGTGTGATTTGGAAAAGCTCTAGGGAGCAGATATATGCTGCCAGCCTTGACAAGCTCAGTTTACCACCTACTCCAATCAGAAGTGCACAACCCCTAGGGAATTCTAGGAAATAAGTGATTTGGCACCTGATGACAGAACACCAATAAAGTAATGTAGACTTCAACAACATCCTTAGTCAAGTTTCTAAGTTTCTTTTTATTGCATCACAGTTGCTTTTTTCTTTTTTTCATTCTTTTTTTTGGTCTATTTTTGAGGTAATGTTCTCCCGACACTTAAAGGTACATTACCTTCATGCCAGCATTTTATTTCTTTCCTCTAAGTTCTTTTCCTTTCTCAAATATTCCTTTGCACTAACCTCTACAGTGACCAGAGCTGTCTGATTGCTTGTTCTTTACATTGAATTGCTTCAAAGCATCACCCCAAGATCCTGATGGGCCCTGACTGGACTCAGAACAGAGACCTAGTTAATTTGAAGGGAGGTTGGCTGGACCCTCGAAGCACATGAGAATTTCATGTCTGGCAGTTTGCACCACAAAGGCTGAAGGACAAGAAATCACCTAATGAAAAATTTGCATCAAACTTCAATTTACTTTTGGAATATCTAGTCCAGACTATTTAAAACATGTTTTTATTTGCTGATCATGGAATACTATAGGATGAATGAGGCCAGATAAGAATTTTCCCCCAAATCAGACAAGATTTAATTTCTAAAATTTTTAAATGTGTGTATTGAGGTAATTCTTCCCCCAAAAAACTATATTTTAGACATTAAAAGAATTCTCTTGCAATTGATATTTTAATAATTCATAAAAGCATCTAAAAATATTCACAAATCTTTATTTTTTTAAAATCAGATACAGATTCCAAGGCATGAAAGTCTAATTCAGCAGATTAGATCTTAGAGGCAGCAAGTTGGACTTTATGCTTAATTTATTTTCATGCATAAATAAAACAAACCAAAAAGCATCCCCTTCATTCTCTGTGTCTCATGCCACTGAAAAAAGTAACCCCTGAAAAAACATTGATAAGAACCTTCTTAAATAAAAGGGATAATGTGTCTAATCTGGTTGCATCTAATAAAGAGGTTGAAATGTGTTCAACCAAAACATTACTGGAAGCCAATTCTCTTTGACTTCACTGTAGAACTTTATCAGCCTTATTCATGATTTCACAATGGATCCATAAAAAAAAAACCATAAAAGGTGCAGAAAAAATTTACAGGTTTAAATTTCACAATCACTTTTCCAGGACTGCCAAATTGTACGTCTAAGACACCCTGCCACTTTATTTGGCAAACAGATACTACTCTCGGTCACTGGACTTCAGAGAGAAGATAATGGCTTACCACCACTTTCAAGCAAAACTAGTGATACCTGAGAAGGCTTCTGTCTGCAATTCTGATGATTATCACATCAACCTCTAAATCAGCCTAACAAAATCTACAGTCCCTATGAAAGATCCATATGATTATCTTTGTAATTTAAGCGTTTCTTTAATCCTCTTGGAGAGAAACTTCTACAATAGACTGCTTAGTCAAGACTGTCTTCTCTTACATAGCTCCTGCCTGATTATGTGCAAAGTGAAAAACGATGACACTGAAATCCTAGTCCAACTCAATGAGAAGAAAATTTGTGTGTTAAACCGTTTGACACTGCAAATAATAGAAACTGCTTTAACAAAACTAATCTCTGCCAGCATGGGCCTCTGTCTCTTTCTGGAAATCACTGATATTACGCATGACTAGAATGACTGCATATGTTCAAGAAAGATTACAAATAATGACAAGGAGCAACAATGAACTCTGTGCCTCACTTACTCAGTAAAATCTTCACTTTGTCTTCTGAAAACTGGTTGATTTTTTTCCATGAAGGAAAACAAAGCAAATGCAGTTAATCAGATTTCAGAAACAGAAGCTGAGATTGCGGGCCATAATGGGTACTAAGATATATCCTGACATAAGAAAAACAAATTACATTAAACTGAGATAAGGTCAACCTACCTATGAAAAAAAGCTACAGATAAATAAAATAAATCTATGATGACACTTAGAAGTCTTGCTTGGTTTACATTTAAAAAAATACAAGGCTGGGCAGCAAAGCAACTTCAAGTCTGCCATGCAGGGGCATAGGTTAGTATATGCTTAAGGTATTACTTGTCCTTGTTTTGAATTAATCTCATTTTAAAAGCATTTTCCCTTTCCTGGAAACAAAAGGTAAATATTGGTTTTCTTATAAAGGTCTGTTACATCATTAACTACTTAAAAGATAAGGCAAACTTAGTCTACAGCTTTATAGACTGTCTTTCCAACCTCAGAAAATAAGTGGTGTAAATTTCTATAGAGTGCAAAAAAGGGTGAACGCCTGTTTAAATAAACAAAATGGAGGTTAGTTTTAACACTGAGCTACAATCTACTCTTCTATAACATCATCAATAAAGTGTATTTATCAGCACTATTGCTGCATAGTGCCCTGCATAAGCCTTCCAGTAAGAGCATTATGAGTCTGCACTGCAACAACTTCTGAACAGTAAAAAGCAACTTCATGCAAACATTGGTAGCATCTTGATGAATTACTTGCTCCCTTTATAGATGATATTCTGCTTACACATGCTGCATGGCACCCTCAAACAAGACTAGGTGCATAGAGGCATGCAGTTTATTGTAGCTTGAGGAATTCCTCGGAAGCATATTACTCAGCAGTTCCCGTGCTTTCACTGGCTCGCAACAAGGGTCTGCTCTGCATTTGAAAAATAGCAATAGATGAGCCAAGGCTGCAGCTACACTTGGTCTTCCACATTCTACCACATAGTTAGAGAGAAAAATAATAGTTAAAAAATTCCCCAAAAGGAGAACATGAAAAATGTTCTCAAGAAAAAACACTACAATAATGTAGTGATTGATGTACCCACACACTCTGCACTGAAAGACTAAAAGTAGGTGCATCAGGTCCAACTCTTAAGTGAATGGTCTATACAAGGACTGAACCCCAAACCTTGGCATTATTTGCACCAGGCTCTAACCAACTGAGCCAGTCTTAGAGTCAATAAGAAAGGAAGTTGAAGTAAATACTGTAAAATGTCTCTGGAAATAAAAAGGGAAAAAGAGATGAAGATTCTCCAGCATCAGACAGTAAATAAGAGTAATGAAGTGTTAAATAACAATACAACCTGGTGAACATAAATCTGCTTGTGTATCACAGAAAAGACTTAAATTCTAGTTTCATCCTTGATGCAGTTCCACAGCAGTTGCATGTCTGGCTATGAGCCCCAAGGACACATCTGCCAGGTGAAGGCCCACATGAGACTGCAATTGCTAAGAAATTCAGGGGACTCTCAATGCCATAATAAATATGGTGTGTCTCTTTCTGTTTAGCTATAGGAATCTGTACTAAATTTCAAACACTGCATTTTCTCCTATTCCCTTTCATCTCCTACCTATTGTAGTGAAAAACTAAATAGTAATTATTTCATGTATTAAATACAGGATTGCTATAATATGACACTTCAAAACATACCTGGAGCCTAGGTTTGATAGTGAAGCTGCCAGCAGTTGGATTCATATGAGCAACATATTGACAACTATGAATTTCTTTAGTAGTTAGCTTATGCCTATCATACCTGAGAAAGAAAATGATTAATATTAGTGACAAAACACTGAAACGCTGTACATTTCCAGGCTTAAACTCAGTTCAAGAATAATTTCTGTACTGTGAGAAATCTGAGATACAAATAGCCATGGAAGTATCAAAATAGGATTGACATTTTAAAATTAAGAATAATCCCAGAAATTTCTATCACATAATATTTTGTTCAAAATTTATGTTGTAATTAAGATATTACTTTCTCACAAAACATTCTGGTGATAAAGATTTTTTTTAAATAAAACTGGCTCCAAACACACTTGGATGAGTCACAGGAAGTACAAATCAGTTTGAGAATGCACACAATCATCACAGATAAGAGCAGAGAAAGTTTACAGATCTCAATAATTAAAAAATCATCAAAGATCATCATAGAGTATAAGGTGGTACACTCCTTTATTTGCAGCATCATCCAATAGATACTGTTTCTGGCTCTTCAGATGACACAGCTCCAGGTGAATTAAAAGGAGGTCACTTAAAAGGTAAAATTAAAAAAAAAAGGCTTTGAATTTCTGGCAGTTTGTGTTCCAATTGTCTAAATATGAAGAGTCTTGGTTCTTTAGAAGTTGGTGTACATCTGAACTAGGCCAAGGAGGTAAAAAAACACTGTAAAAGGAAAGTCGTAAATAGCCATTCCCTGCTTAAATCAACAAATCCTTCCTAGAACTTCAAAGTATAATGCATTCTCTTTCCTCCCATGCAACAAATTTTACTCTATTTTAGAATTCTCAAATGGTTAGGTCCATTTTCCTGAATGGTATGGTCAGCTTTTTTTCCTAATTTGATTTGTTTGGTAAAATTGAGTTTTTTAATTTTTGGTTTGGTTTTGTTTCAAAAGAATTTAAAACAATTCAAAAGAAAGAAGTATCATATCTTTTAAGCAGTAGGAATTTTGAGATCTGACTCTGAAATCTTTCTGAGAAAACCAAAGGTTTTTGAAGTTTTTTTTTGTTTGAGACTTCAAAAAAATGCTCAAATAGCATCTAGCTCTGGGAATAAAACAGAAGAGCATTGAGACATTAGTTTTGCATGTCTCTGAATTAGACTAGATTGATTTCTCCAAGCCAAAGATGTTTCAGATTTGAGTAGTCACTTCCTTTTTTTTGTCTTTACGTCTTGTGCCTTAACAAGATATTCAGCTGACACCTGGTGTCATTCCTTCATGGGATGAAGTATGATCTACAGAAAAAGCTTCATTTGCACTAAAAGATGCAAGAACAGTACAGACGTTATTGCCTCACTTTGTCACAACTACAGTCAGATCACAGTGTACATGTCAGTGAAAAAAAGAACATTCCATAAAACAGAAGTTTTAAGGGTGTGGATAAAACCCTTGAATATATGGTGAAGAAGCAGAAAACTGAGTACTCAGAGAACCCAACACTCAGCCTCCTAATGGAGTAGAATGCCTGCCTATTTGTCTGTGCACCTCCTTTTGACAATACACAGAAAGACAGCTATGTGTATTTAACTCGCTTTTTAATGTCTGAAAACTTCTTTACTTACCAGATCATTCACGAAATCGTATCTTTGTTAATCACATATTTTCTTCATGTTACAAAAAAATGGTGTACTTGTAAGTAAACAAGAATCTAATATGTATTTATGACAGCAATGAATTATTTACAGAAAATATTGGTCCCTCTGTAACAGAATGAAATAAAATACTAATAAGTTGATTTTAAACTTAAAACTTTATTTTTACACAGATCTGGTGAAAGGATGCTAATATATTTGAAATACTAAAAAATTATCATTTGGAAACTAAGAAGAACCTTATTTGCCCAAATCAACTTAATTATACTTCAATGGTCATCTTCTGTGTTTTTCTTCTCATGGCAGAGAAAGTCCATTCATTTGGACCAGTATCATTAAGTTTTTATGGATTTTGTCTGTTGCCTTTACACGGAGAACAAAAGATAGAGGGTGGTATAGGCTAAACATCTGGCAAACTGGAATTCCAAACAACTCTGAAATGTAACACAACATGCATGAAAATTATTACCATATGAAGCAATACTGAAACTAACACAACATGCATGAAAATTATTACCATATGAAGCAATACTGAAACTAAACAAAATCAAGAATTCCAAATCATGCTGGCTAAAATTTGTGAAACATTTCATCACCTACAAGTGGTTTTTTTAACCACTGAAGTCCCTGGTAATCAGTGAAACTCAGAGGTTGTCTTCAAGAAAGCATCACCATGGGGTTCTGAATTCCAGAAGAGTATTGTTGATTTAGTTGATTGACTACTTTGCAGCTTTTGAAAATGTCATTGCATATCCATCTGCATCCTTTGAAACTGAAATGCTTTGAATGTGAAATCCCTTGGTATCCTGACACTCAGTTCATCAGTGAGTAATTATTTTCTCCTTCTCCTTGGAAGGACTAAACAAGGACTTTGCCAAAATATGTAAAGTGTGAAAATATGAATTATAAATCGCATTTGATCAGGACATTTAATCAGGAATCTGGTGCAGCATCTCCCATACTAATGAAAATTAAGCCGATCGTATTAAATTTCAGCCTATTACTCCAAATGAGTTACTTACATGATCCTGAATGCAGACCATCAGGTTACAAACTTATTACAACACTCAACAAATTAATTTAAAGACCCTTACATACTCATCAGAACTGTAAAATCTTGAGACAAATTTTGAGTTCATAAAGTTTTTATCAATTGCATTGCTTCCCTTAAATGTGTAAGGGAAAGAATAACTACAGAAAGCTGTTAAGTCATCTTAAAAACACAGAAGCAAACAACTTTTATTAAGCATTAGTATATTACTCATCTTCAGTATGAGGCGTTCCTCAACTTTTGCCACTTTCCACAGATATATATGAAGGGATTCATCATCCATGAAAGTTTGATTTCCAATTGCACTGTTTCTATTTTGTACATGGAAAAAAGCACCTGCAGAAATCACAAGCAATTTATTAAAGCAAGACTGGAAAACTAACACTCTTCCTTCCGAGGTCATATATTTTTGTTGTTTAAATGATCACATAAACGTTTTTTCAAAATAAAACCACTGTGATTGGTGGACTTCAAGGAAAACCTTTCAGCCCAGTGACTGAGCTCTCATCTTCAGTGAGCAAGCTAAATTCCAAGGTTTTGTCTGCCTCATTCAGAGCTGAGATTTGAAGCAAAGGGGGTTATGAATAATTTAGGGAATACAGTGGTTCAAATCCTTACAGCACAGGAGAGATTTTCATGCAGACTCAATACTGCTTGGCAAGAGGAAAAAGATTTCTCAAAAGTTCTGTGTATCTAACCCAGATTTTTTATTTTGTCTAGTCAATAATATCATGAATTTGGGATATACCTGATATCGACTTTGAGATGATCAAAGCCACATTTTTTAAGACTTTAATATTTTTCAATAAGAAAGGAGTGTGAGGAAGAAAAAGAAAAAAAGGATTAACAGTTCCATGTATAATAAGTAGAATAGGAAAAAACAGACATTTATTTTTTTCCATTGTATTGGGCTGCATGTTAAATACTTTGGGTTAGGCAAAAGAAAAAAAAAAGAAAAAAAAAAGAAAAAGAGCAAAATATAAGTGTATGGTTTTGAACTTGTCTTGTTTCTTTAAAAACTGGGCAACATGGTCACCAGAGCTTGTAAGAAATGGAAACTGCACTTGCACAGGGACAGCTGAAGGCTGTATGTCACAGCACTGCCACAGTTCTGACTTGCAGCAGACTTTTTGGTTTCTTAGGCAAAGCAGTATAAACAAATACATAACTGCAAGCAGTTTCCATTAGGACTACAGAAGTATTGAGTTGTCATCTTAGATTTTTCAGTGAAATTAATCATCTGCAAACCTCAACAGTGATTTTGACTGGCCAATTCAACCAAGGTAAGAAATGCATCCAAGGACACTTCTGTCTAGTCACATTCACCTTAAAGCGTGGTCACTGACTGGAGGAGTAAGTAGATAAAGAAAGAAAGTGTGCTGAAGGACAGGACAGAAATGGAGAACCTCAACATATTTGCAACTGGATGATCATAAATTTTGGGGGGGAAAAGGCCATGACTGCACTTACCCTGCCTTTCTACCACAGAAGAGAAAAAACTTTTTGCAGAAACTATTTGCGTATGATAGGTTTAAAGTCTCTTAATTCCCTTCAAATCTTAGGTAAAAGACAATTTTGTTCTTTTAGCTTGGTATATACTTGTACTTTTAAACCCCAAATTAGGAATTCTTATTTTTGATCCTTAACCTTATCTAAATTTTATACAGTGTCCACAATTATAATCTATAAACATTTACACATTTTTGTTCTCTGTGGCAGTGTTCCAGACTTTAGCATTATTGAAGACCCCAGATCTAATGTACTAATATTAGTTTGCATCAGAACGTTCCTCCATCAAGTAACATTTTGAAATTTTCTGCTGTTCTAGAGGCAGAGCGGGTGAGTCATATGCCTTGGGGAAATGCTAAATAAAACCCTACACTACATGCTAATCTCACCCACTCTAGCAGACACCTCAAAAAAATTTATGTGGATACAGATAAGATGGGAACTGACAGAAAAGACTGCACATTAAAAGTGATATGATCTGCAAGAAAAATCTTTTAACCTCTAAACTATGGAAAGAACATGGCAATGTAGTGAATAACTGCACTTCAAGTTCAGTTCTTAATCTCTTATTTATGAACTGAGACTTAATTTAAAGTGCTCATTTGTGTAATTTGCTGTGAATGACTCTTTCTACTAAAAAAATTCCCAATTTGACTGTTCCAAAGAATTGCTTGGAGTGATAGCCTAAGACTATGAAGGCATTTCAGTGTATCACTTGAATGCATTTTACAGGAAGGAGCATTTGTACACACAAACATAAAAATAACATAAGAGGTAGTCATTTTGAGCTATACATGAGAGTACAAAATTGTTCCATCACAGTTCACAGAAAAAAATGTGGTAAACACAACGGAAAGCAAACACAATATACTTGTTTCTGGATTGTCATGCAGTTCTTCACCCACTGTGATTAGCGGAGGGATTTGTTAGCAGAGCATTTAACAAGAGGGGTTTGGCTGAAGAGCAGCAGACAGAAGGAAGAGCTGCAGACAACCAGATGAGTCCACTTTGTTCGTGTCTTGAATTTTCTTAGAAGGAACAGGTGGAAGTTTTACAACAGTGACTTAAAATATGAAGGGATACTACTAACATTTCAAAGCAAATCCTTAAAGGTTCATAAATTGGTTTATGTCACAAGACAGTTGATGGGTGTGATACACTTGCAGTGTAAGCCCCTGTGATGCTGATTTCATATCTTTGGTTTATTTAAGAAGTTTCCTGCAAGAAGGATACACAACATTTGGTGCCCAGGAGCTCCTTTTATCAGCTTCTGTTTGCAATGGAAAGTATGCTTTTGTACTCTAGTGCCATGGTCATGGTTGCTACTGAAATGGCATCATTAGCTGAAAAAAACCTCTCTGATCAGAGGAATTTCTGAAAGCCTTTTAAGGCTGATTCCCCATTAAAGGAGCTATGACAGTTTACAACAGCTCATGATCTCACTCTGATGTGCAGCAGATTTCTTTTCTCCTAATCTCTCCTTCATTTTGAGGGGCAAAAGGGTGATTAGGTTTTATTAATGCAGGTTTCTATGTTAATGTGAATTTGGAAACACTTCAAGGAATAGACTGGTAGGAAAGCAGATATTAATATGACCAAAAAGACCCTCCCATTCTCCCAGAATATGTTACTTCTGATTCATCAGCTTATGCAAGGTGCTCCTTTACCTATGGATGATGCATACATCAATTTGTTTCTTCACATGGGCTTCATCTACTTTAAATAGCAGTAAAGACATCTGTATTTTTTTAGTCTTTAACAGGCAAGTTTGACTATATATTTCTCAAGAAACCAAGTAAGCAAAACACTGACAAGTAATTTTCAGAGTTTTAGAACTTTCCTCTTCAAACTTTTGTAGCATCACAACAAAAAAAATCTCACTAAGGGGTATGTACTTTAATGCCTTGTTTATATCTACATTTCTCAGTATAAATCAGCTAAAAGCAGAAGAGGCAAAATCTCTCTCAGTGTCAACGGAAATAACCAGAAAATGATTCAGAGCAGGACCCTAAACTTAGGATCCAAAATTTCTCTTGAAAAAGCCACACTCTGTTCCTTGGCTAAAGTTAGGTTATGTGGCTCGCCCTAACAGACACCTTGCTGAGTAACTGAGTAACCATAGACCATGTCACTAAAGTTAAGTCCCTAAGACAGGAAAGCTTAAGAGAATGGACTAAACTCCAATCACTTTCCTAAGGTTACGGTCAGATTTTAGATTCAGATTTCATTATGTTACAGCATTTCAGACAGCCCACAAAACTGGTTTAGCTGTATAACTAATAAGAAGGGAATAAAGAATCTAGATGCTATTGTTCTTCAATTGACTTATTAATATTTCCTAACACTAGCCTTCTGTAGTATAGTGATGCAAGGACTTCAGTTATGGAATCTTAAATATATTTTACTGAGAGGTTTTCCAAATAACAGTTTCAATAATCTTACGATTGACATTTTGAATTACACCAATTCATACTCTAGGAGGCACCCTTAAAGTGTGATTTAGGCTACTTTAAGTCTTTTTGTTGTACCAAATAGGCAAGACATATCGTTAATTAGGTGCTAAAATATGGAAGAAAAGAATTGCATACTATCTCCAGAAAAATAAAGGAAGAAAAAAATGGGAAAACAGGTAGAGGGGAAGCCACTGTAATTGTTTCTCAATTGCTCACTTTATTAACATCCATAACAGTGTTGAGTGACTCAGTCCACATAGGATCTATATCTCTATTTAAAACTGACCTTTTTGGCCCCTCATGGGTAATATTTGCTCACTCTCTCAGAAGGGATGACAGATTCTACTTCAATAGAATCTTATCACTTCAGTGCTTAAGTAACAACACGACACTGCAATTAAAACTTCAGACGACTTGATGCATCACTGAAACATGGAGCTTTTGTAGAGTCAAAACCATGCTTTTTCCTTTGCTTGTTTATTAGATGGTTATTCAATGAAACAAAAAAAAAAATCAGTGAACACTTAATATAACAAAATGACTGCATTTTATGCAATAATGACCTATTTCTTAATTCCAGAAGAGTCTGTCATTAGTCTTAATGAGGTGGGTGAGATATGGGAGGTGTCCTGGGTCTGTGGAGAAAATAACTCACTCTTTAAGACAGCAGAATCAGCATTGTTCAGGTTAATACCTTTCTGTCTACTAGCATCCTGCTCTGCCTTCCAGTCTTTCCAGAACCACCTGTGCTCTGCACCCACATTTCATTGCATCAAAACTCAGAAAAATGCAAGAATTCTCTCGCTAACACCTTTTCTGAATTATGGCATTGTCCATTTTGGATGGAGAATGATGCCTCCAGGAATAGGTCCGAGCAAGAACACATGTGCTACTTGCCATCTTTCCCTTATCAGGTTTCATGGTGTATAAAGCCAAACAGTTCATCAGTTGTCAGGACTTTTGAGTTAAGATCATTCCAAACAGGTATCTCTTTCATGTTCACATACGTGTGGAGCAGAACTTATAGCACGTGAAGAAGAGGAACAAGGTGCATGTTAGTGACACCATTTTGATACAATAGGAATTTTTTACTTTTTCCTGAACCGGATTCCTGACTGCAAATCCCTGCACTCCGAGTAAATTCACCTTGATTTACTCTTGCCTCTGTGCTAATTTAGTCCCAAATTTTCATCAAGCCTAAGGATAAGAAAGGATATTCCCATTCTGAAATGGCTGTACTCTGTAGTCAATTCTAATAGAGAGTGTTAAATGGAGAAGAAAATCTATGCAGCTGCCAACAGTTAGTAGCAGAAATAGGCAAGCATTATGTATTAGAATTATTTGTCTAGTGTTTTGGCAATAAACTCGTTGATGTCTGTCTAGAAACCTAATTAAAACATCCTGCTTCTTCTTCCAGAACAAAGTATTACTTAGTCTATCTGTCCAATTGAATACTCATTACTTTGTGCCATGATTGACTGTCCTTTGGGACATGTGAACAACATATAAAATGTAGGATTTGCTTGTAACATTTGAGCTTTCTATTGCACATCATGTGACTGACTGAATGACCTGAACAGCACGTTATTACACTGCAGCCTAAGGCAAAGGCAACATGGAGAACGTTTTCTGCGAGAACCACAGCAATTCCTTTACAATGTGAGATAGAAAACACGCTGCATAGGTAGGCAGGTACCTTACTCTTTCCAATTCCTGCATTTCCAACGTCAAGCACAGAGTGATGCACTGCCAGCAGCTCCTCCAGTTGAACAGCCTACCACCCAGAAGAGACACACAGTGAGTGCCTTTCCTCCCTTGTTGTGCTTCTTATCACAGAGACACAATTATTGACAAAAATCATCTCCCCCTCTACATTCCTATTCCCTTTAATAGGAAAAAATGAACTTGCACCATCCTGGCAGATTTGCCTCAGCTGAGCTGATGTTGCATCAAGCAAAACTGTCTCTCAGAAAATGGTAAGAGAATTGGTGCAAGGTAATGAAAACAGTTACCACAACAAGTGAGAACAAATCCTATTCTGCCAGACAGCCACACAGTCCAGTAAGACTGTGCCCACCCAGACATACAGAACAGTTATTCACAATATTACAATTTTGCCATTGCTTTAGCAGAGTGAATTCCACACTCAGAACAGTTGTACAGCTATAATTCAGCAAAATACAAGGTCAGTCTACTAAAGTAATACATTTCTTCCAAAGACATAGTTCTATGAGTCACAGAATGGAAACAGGTTGGGTGCTTGTGGATTTCTGCCTTAGTGAAGAACATTTACACTCATTTTCTAAAGTCTAACAGGAATAAGATCATGTTCCTCAGCACTTAGCTTCTGTTTCACCCAGCTAGTGGGAAACAAAATATTCTATAGAAGGCTGACTATAAAGTTCACAGTACTCCAAAGTATAGGTTTTTGTCTTTCACCCTTCTGTCAGGATAACGGAAAAAGATAGACAAGAGTATAAAATCCTGTATAAATCCTTAGATCAGCCACATTTAACCAGTCTGGTTATTTCTGTTTCCAACATACCCTAATAAAGGTAAATAGTGTGCTATCACATACAGCAGATGTGGATGTTCCCTGAAGAAAGATGGGAATATATGCTCTTAGTAGTCCAGTAATGTGTGCAGCACAATGTGCATTATATTATACATAAATACCTGAGCACACAAAAGTCACATGCAGCCATGCACATTCCAAATCCACACCCTCTTATTTATATGTTTTTTGCTCCCTCACTCTTCTTACCTCACTATAAATAATTAACCAACAATGAATTTTCTACCAAATACAAAGCCTTGGTACTGAGCACAAACAAACATGTTTGTCACTCTAGATTGTAACTATACACAGCTTTTTTGAACAGGATATATTTTCTTACAGGCATATTTATCATACTGAGGAACATTACTACCATGATAAAATGCCTTTGAAATACCAAGTTATTGAGGGACACCTTATCAATACCGTAATATATTCAAAAATAACCTTCATTTGCAATTGCAAACCCATTTGCAATTATTTTGATTGAAACTCTTAAGGGGAGTAATTAAAGGCAATGAATTCTTTTACTTTGAGAATAAAGCTCTCTTCAGGCTTCAAATGAAGCTTCAGGGTAGATTGTTTACCCATCTGTTCAAACTGTAGGTTCCTCTTCCTAGTAACATCCAGAGCTGGAAACAGGTCACTGATTAGGCCTGTGAAAATTGGGATATCATCTGTTACTATTTTAGGGAAATTAAAGTCTCTTTAGATTCCCATAAGCACCTGGAAAAGGACAGTAAATAACATATCGTAAGAGCATTAAATCATTCTCTTTTTAGGATTCTGTTTTTATTCAAAGGTAAAACATCAGAAATAGCCCCTACTCTTAGACGCTTTTAAGTAAAGATTTTAGCTGATCCTCAGGACTATTTCTTGTCTCCTTGTTTCAAGGGCCCAGCAATTACCAAAACTGACTTGATAGCCTGAAGTCACCAGTCATAATAGTGCTGTGAAAATATTTTAACTAGTCATGTTAGCACAGGAAATAAAACTAAGTGGTTTTTATGAAGAAAACAGTCGATTTACACATGGAGGAAAATTACACATTTTTAATCACTTGTAGCCTTGTAGGCTTTAGGCCAGTGTCAGAGTTCTACTAAACAAAAAAAAGACAAAAAATAAGGTGAAATGTATATCTATTTAATCTTCAGTATTCCACCACTTTGTTCCTTATTCTTAAATGGCAATATTTGCATCATCAAGTATTATTGTATTCATTACAATTTTCATGATGAAATAAGGAAAGCAAAAAATGGCTTCCAAACTTCTACTAATTTGATCTGATGTTAGCAATGCTTTTTTGTTTCTGAAAGGTAAGATTGGACACATTTGCACCAGCTCCACCACCAAAGTTAGATAGATACTCAGTCTAGAGAGAAAGTGTAAAAACATTTGGTCAGTGAAGGGCAGAGAGCAAGCCTGCATCCTCTTCTAAGCCCTACCAGTGGGAAGGCAGACACCCAGCGCAGAAGGTACAACTTTTTCCACGATACATATACATTGCAGTCCCTCCTTCTCAATTTTTTCAAGACTATGTAATACTTACCTCTCTCCCTCTCATTCCAAGGTAACATAGAAATAGAAAGAGAAGGACTTTCAAACAATTTCAACAGCACCTTGACTGACTGGAGTACCCTAATATCCAATTTTGAAGAGGATTGCCATAAAGTTACAGGTCTCTAAATTTAAGACTACAGCAACACCTAAAGGAGTTCTTACAGCTCATGCAGAGATCCCAGATGGTTAATTTTGGTATAGTCAGCAGTGGGACCAGCTACCATAAGAGCAGCAGGCTAAGTATGTGGACAATCAGCTCCTCTGACCTCTGTGCTGCTGTGGCTAGTATCTCCTTATGTCAGCATGCATCACAATATTCATGTTGGTCCACAGTTTCCTTAGTGTGTGCACACTACCCTTCCCTCAATCTGAAAAATCTGTCTGGGATTGCAACCATCCTGCTGTCAGCACCCAAACTGGCTACCAGTTGGGTAAGGTTTGAGAGCATATGCTGCAAACCACGCCTAGGAATTAAATATAAATACAGCCTGGTTAGTATTATCACACATAAATACAATTAAAAAAAAAAGGAAAAAATAAACAAAAAATCAAACCAATCCAAAAACTCAAACTAAAACCAAAACCAGAAACAAATTCACAACTTAAAAATATACCATTTTTAAAGTTGACAGATGTCTCTATCCTCTTCTATGACAGTGTGAATCAAATGCACTAAATATGTCACAAATGATAAAAAATAAAAAGTAATTTTCAAATTCAGGACAGTTCACAATCAGTAAGAATTTTTTTTTTCTAAGGTAATAAATATGCCAATTATCTGCATTGAAAATAAGTCTCCACATTTTAGAAATGGTACACTTAGGCAAAGAATAGAGCTGATAATGAAACTAGGAAATTTAGGAATATACTGTGCTTAATAAGCTTTTGGTTAGATCAAGGTAATTTTTTTGTTTGTTGTTGGTTTGCTGTCTCGTGGGTTATTGAAGTGTAGGCTGTGCATCTTAACAGCAGCCTGGTGTGTGGATTGTCCTGTGTACAAAGACTTTAAGACATCCAGGCTATTTGCCATGGCATGACAGGACCAGAAGTCCCTTCCTTCACTGCATATGCACTAAAAGCCCTGATAACCCTGTTCTGCAGCAATTTTCATACGCTAGGATCTTAGTGCCCCAAAGGTATATTTTAAATTCTAGAAGTCCCCACTGGGACAATATTCTCAGAACTCTCTGAACTGCTGTATATTTTTTTTAGTAGCCCAGAATTTTTGTCAAAGGGATTTGATTTTTCCCATTTCCATTAAAAGTAAAACAAATAAGACTTAAAAGTAAATAAACAAGAACATTCTAGCTTTTGCTTCATACATTAATGTTAATACTATTATTAATACTATGATTAATACTGAACTGGCAAAGAGTGGTATAAATTACTTTTCCCAATTCAGAAAGTGCCTCCAAGACAAAGTAATCATTAGACTTGAGGCATCCTTGTTCTGCTGAAGCAAACAATATTAATTATCTTAAGATATGCATGTCTTAATTTCATTATCTCTAGAAAATGGCAAGAATGTGTCAGGAAATCTTCAGGATATTTAGAGATAATTTCAAATTATGCAGGCATGAAATAAAGTTGCTTTTGATTTCATCATGGCCTTGCCTGCTATTTGCGTTTATAGCTTAATGTTTAAGGATCTTATTACACTGACAAAACTGAATATTAAGAATGCCTTGGGAAAAATTATACAGTTCAAAATGACTAAAACAGCATACATACCAGGGAGAAATTATATAATTTCTAGATTTAAGGTTTTAAGATAATATTTCCAAATATAAATTCTTTCTATTATAATAATTAAATTATTTAGAAATGCTACTCCCCCCCCATTTTTCAAACAGTCCTCCACTGTATTTACTGGGAAAAGTTTAAAGAAGTGTTCGTCCAACTAGAATATGCTATCTGTTTTTCAGAATAATTCCTACTCTGCTATTCTCTTCTCCAAATGATAAAGTTGTCTTTCTAATACACAGCAGCACAATGTAGTCAGTCATCCCAGGTATGAAGTGGAGATATACAATTTTTTAATGCACACTTAATACATTACAAACATACCAAGATCAGAGGAAAGGACACTTTCTTTCACATTCATATCTGACAATTTATTAAGGATGGACATGTGATTTAAAGTGTCTTCAAAATAAAAATTAAGACTATATACATGAATCCCTCCTATTATTATACAATATCCACCTGCATTGGTATGGAGTATCTGTTGACATGTATCCAACCCAGCAGCCCAGAGGCCCTCACCTGTTCAGGGAGCAGCTCCCAGTAGAGTAGTTACAAGGTGATAAACTTCCTAGCTAACAGACACGCATCAATAAACCCTTCAGCAACCAACGTAATTTCAGAGATCAGTTCAATGTCAGGGACAGCCATGCCACAGGTTCTAGGAAAGAAAACAAACCCCATAATCCAAATACGCAGATTAGTATTTAAACATAGTGAGAATAAGTAATTTAAATCAAATGTCTGATGTGTGCAAACATTTTTAAAAGCAGAGCTCAAAAGAGCCACAATTAAGAGTGTCAGTCAAAGCTAACAAGAACCTCACTTCAAAGCAAGAGAAGATAATTAGGCATTGTTGATTGTTAATATCCAATAATATTGCTGCACACAAAGGAGGCAGTTGAGAAACACAGAGACAGGTACTGCTGAAACTTAGAGCAGTCACAGTCTGCAGTGGTGTCATTTGCCACCGACAACTGGAGGTCACAGCCAACAGCTGTAGAGGGTCTGGAAGTGCAACACCCTACCATTACTAAAAATGCCACAATTTTTTAAAGCACTTTGATTTTTTTGGAGGGCTTTAATGATTTTATGTGAAGTCTCAGTGGCTTTTAGAGGTTTCACTGTTTTTTTTTTTAAATATAAACTCCAGTTCAAACTTTTAGAACAAAGTCACAGACATATTAGTGATACAAATGAGAAAAATCTCATTAAATCTCATTTTAAAAGTATCACAAAGTAATATTGCTATTGCTAAACAATATCCTCATTTTAAAAATCACTACTTAGATTATATAATAGCAACGAAGAAATCTTGAATTTTTTGTTCAAGTCAGCTACAAACCAGCAACTTTTTCCCTCAGAGCACTTCCTCACTCCTGCAAAACAAATATTTTTTTGTTCCCTATTCATATTTGAATATGACGAAATCAAGACCAGTAATTTAAGTCAGCAGTATATTTCTGACAGAAGTCAATAACATAGTCTAGAAAAAGAGTAAGAACCTCTCTGCTAAACAACTTTTAAGCAAACTATGCTCTAAGAGGCATTTCTTCATAAGCCCAAACAAGGGCTGCTATATGCATTGCAGTCAATTATGAAAAATTACTTGCTCTTCTACCTACCATAATTATTACACTTTTTGCAAATAGAGTAACTGCTTATGCAAGAAATATCAGGCTAGTAGAATTCATTATGTCTTCTCTCTCTTGTGGGATTTTATTAAGTGGCAAATATGTGGAGCTAATGCTTTAGCAGTTACCTCTTGTCTCTCCCATGCGCTGCACAATAGATAGAAGCTGTTACAGACATCAACTACAGAGCTGGATTCCTGAGTCTCAAATGCTCCAGTTCATATTATAATTCCAAAGACTTTTTATTTGGTTTATTTTTTTGTGAAAACCAAGCAAATGTAAGACTTCTGCTTTATGCAGAAGTAGATTTTGAAAATTAAAAAAAAGAAAAAAAAAACCACAAAAAACCCCCAAATCCAAAACCCCAACCAAAGCCAAAGAAAACCATAGTAGAAAGCAATGATTTATCTTTCAGCAGAGATCTTGTTAATTAATATTATTGCATGTCCCTTATCCTTTTCTTCCCAAACAAAAAAAAAAAGGAACAACAAAAATAATAGACAACAAAAACAAATCACATGCATTTTCCATTCTCTGGTAGTCCACTGAGAGATGAAACACCTGGTAGTGACAGGGAATGAAGTGTCTTTCTGCAGTGAAAGCATGTAGGTCTATGGTATCAGGAATTCCATGGTTAAAGCAGAAAAAACAAAACACACCAAGATCTGGACATACTTTTAATACAGAAGAAAATACTAACTGTATTTGAACTTGCTCACAAAAGCAACAGTGATGCCTGGTTCTAAGCTATCTTTCACAAATCCAAGACCTTTACTGTGCAGATAGCATGTACATACTTGTGCCTCCCCAGACAGCCTGACAATGCCTTGCAGCTTGCCTCACCAAAGTTCATGTTAAGAAATGAAATCACAGAATGATTTCTTTCTCAAGTCTTGATAAAATCAGTGAAAGTGTCAATGCAAGAGTCAGGTGACAACTTTTGCACAAGCACGTGAGGGACGACTCCTTTTTAAGCAAGTCCTGCACCATGTAGTTCAAAGGACAGCTCAAAAAGTTTGTTGAAAGAAATTGGCAATTTTACTGCCCATCAGGCTGGAGCAATTGTTTGTGGAATTAATTCATTCTCAGAAACATCATTTGGATATAAACTCACTGAGCAGAGCACGCAAAATATATTCAGATCTTTTAAATTCAAAACTTTCTTCCTCAAAATATTAGTAGTAAGATACAAAGCATAAATACAGACTTTAAGAAAAAGATAATGGGCTGTCCCACAGTGCCTAAAAGCATATGACTGTTTTTAATGTGCACTGCACTTTTCACAGCTTCTCAACAATCACACACTCAATATCTTCCTAGGTCAGGGTACGAAGCTTTATTTTCAGTTGGTAGTTTCGAAACGCCTATGAATACTTTCATGCCTACACCCAACCAAGAATGTGATAGCTAGACAGTTTTCAAATGGTGATTTTACTAGGTTAACTGAGCTGTGAGGATTCCTATTTACCACAAAACAGTGAATATTCTTGCATATGTTTAGGTACCTCCTATGTGTGCACAGGTATCTTTAAAATTTGATATAGATTAAAAAAAACAAACAACAAAACAAAACAGCAAGGTAGACATTTAATTTCCCTTGTCATTATGGTGTGGAGGCAGGCACAACATGAATACTGATCTTTTTTTAACAGCAATTCTGTAGCAAAAAGAAGTTGCACTTCATTGCAAACCAGGGCTAGGAACACTAGGTGGGATATATACGCTAAATGTGGACTTGAGATATTAGTATACCATAAAATCACACAATAGCACTACCTGTCTGAACAGAGCTATGAGGTTTTCAGGTAGTTCTGTCTGACCTGCACATCTGGGGATCATGGTAATAATATTCTAGCTGTGGACTTCAACGTAATATTTTCATCAAGAAATACAAATCTGTTAAACGAAAGGCAACACAAAAAAGTGTTAAAAGAAAGATAATACTTATAGAAAGGGACAGTTTACTAGAGCTTATCAAACAGAGGTATTTCCCTGGTAGCCACCAGATTTTAGTAATCTGTGGCTCCTCTGGCCAGCACTGAATAGGGAAGGAAAAGACCAGACTGCTAGAGTCACAAGGAGTGCATATTGCTGAAGCATGCCTATAGGAAGAATCATCTTTTGAAACATGCAGAATAAATGAGACCAGTAGGGATGCAGTGGGTTTGAAAAGGTCAGGAGACAATATTGAGTAAAGAAAGCAGAAGAAGAAGAACATGGGACCGTGGAAACTCAAGGCATGTCTCAAAAGTGCTGGAAAACCCTGGAAGCACTGAGATTTCTTGCCAAGTTAAATCCTGTCAAACTTCTCACCCATATGATGCCATGATTTCACATGGTGGGACTTGAACAGGGCCAGAATTTCAATAGCAAAGCTTCAATTGGAATCCTGCAGGACCAGGATTTCACTGACATTTGTTGCTACATTTTGAAGACAAATTGATTTTAAGGTAGTATATCACACAGGTGATTTACTGTTTCCATCTACTTCCTCATTTACAAAGGGTTTCAGAGGAACTTTGGAAAAAGATATTACAGGTTCAGCATTTATAGCCTGCAAAGGACAATAAAGATGCACTGCTGAAATACTCCTTTTTCTTGTTTCTAATTGTATCATGGATAGTCTTTAATTGTACTACCACCACTGACTGAACTACCAAGGCACCACTGAAGTCATTGAAGCACCCCCAGGCTCCTGTCTGGACCAAATCTTAACAGATATTCTCTGTAGAATAAAATCAGAAGTGAAGGTTTAACATCTTTTTCTTAAAAGCAACAGTTTCCAGCGTAATTCACATGAAAAAATGCTAAACACCAATCTCCATACTGCTTAGCAGAACATCTCACCTTTTCATCCATGTATTCTGAACAGTTGAAGATGTACACCATCATACCAAGGGCACAGCCTAAATCTTCAGTGGTCTCTGTCTTACCTATGCCAGCTAGTTCTTCAGGAGAACCACTCACTTTCAGGTCGAGAGCTTGAGTTAGAGTAATGTAACACCTTAACATAAGAAAAGTGATTGTTTGCATTGCAATGAACTTCTGCAATATCAGGAGGTTTTGTTTTTTGATTTTGGTTTTTTTTTTTTCCAAACCTTATGTTTCATGGGTGATTTATTCCAAGACTTTCTCATTAAAATTTAATGTCCTAAGCCACAAATGTACCTCTTCCATGTTCATGTAAAATCACTGTGTGATACTACTTGGAAAATGCTTATTTTAGAAAACTAAACACATCAGCATTTTTTAGCAAGAAGGAGCATCCTATCAGTGGTCACATAGGACAGGAAACAGGAGACTGTAGTTGCTGCTTTGCCTATTTCAAAGACTTAAGCCCCAGAATTGGCCCCCCAACTGCAGGTCGTAAGCACTAAGCCAGTCAGGGTGTCTGGGTGCATCTTTTTGGACCATTTATTTTAACAAGAAATTCTATACTGGAGTAGAAACATTTCCAGAAAAAAAATAAATTCATTGTGTGTGGTGTGAAAAAACACTAACAAAGTGGTTTGGACTTTAATACACAAACAAAAAAAAATTGCTGAAAAGTCCTGATTAACCTTGATAAAGATCCACTCATATTCCCCTTCAGACTAGACACTGAATACATACATATGCAAAGAATATTTCAGTAATTTTAAATGTAACGGCCATTAAAATCATACCATTACATAAGTATGCATACCTACATGCACACACATGCTCAAAGATATTGTGTCTTAATAATCATATACATATGAGTTAGGAAAGAACACTGAACTTCTAAGAAACATTTAACTTCTTATTCACAGAAACAGGTAAGGCAGACTGTTGTAAGTAGCAGTCATTACCTGTCAGTCAAAGGTGTAATGACTAGCCAAGGGGTATTTCCCAAGTACTTAAAAATGTACTGAAACTGAGCATTGCTAATGTTGGCAAAACAGTGTTTCTGGACATCATCCCATCTATGGCGTAGCTATGACAACCAAGCAAAAGCTCTGAAACCGGTGACCTAAAAAGCCACTGTAGAGTCATGATGCCAGGTAGGAGCTATTCAGATGGAAGAAATGCCACCCATCAGAATGCTGTCAAACATTCCTAGCCACTTAGGACCAATAACTACTACAACCAACCATAAAGGATTAGATGCACCCTGAGGCATTTGTGCTTTTATATAGATGCAAGTGTAATAAGAGATCATTTTAATAGAGCTATTACAGCAGTACACATTGTCACTTACTAAGTCAAGATCTCTCCTTACAAAAAATGCAGCCTTTGCCTGGTAGCAGACATTACTTTGACCAGAATGAGTTTCATTTTACTCCTCAAGCCTTGTTTCTTCTTATCTTAATGCTGTCTTAGAAAACCATTTTATTTCTGAAGTTCAGGAGGTTAGAAGGAAAATGAGAATTCCTTCCTATTTCAATTCCCATCCAGTGAAACGTTTTGTTCATTCAAACCAACAGCATATGCCAGCCACCTTAGGTTTACCTAAACAAAGTTACACATAGAGTGAGCACTTTGGTTTAAATAAACATTGAAAGTTTCAACTGTATGCACTTATAAAGAGTCACTATAGGAGAGGAGTGACTTGCTCTAGAGATGCATGTGTGCCTCTAAAAGGAGAGAAAAACACAGTGTGAATTACTGAAGGCAGAATAAACTGTGCATGGAAAATATAGATGATTCAAATACACACCACCTGAGCTCAAAGGCTTGCTAATACATCTCTGGCATGAATGTCTACAGTGCAAATGGCCATGATTTTTTGATGATCATCCAAGGAAAGTTCTCAAAGCAGCATGGTAAATAAGAGCATTTCTCCAAGTGACCTGAAAGATTTAGATAACCATCTAAAACCTCAGATGGACCTCAGCAACATCTACCATTATTGCTACTAGAAATTAGTTCTGCCTACATCATGAACTAGATCACCACAAAAACTGGCTTGTATGTACAAATTTGCTGGTATTAAACCTGAGATGCCAGAAGAAATCCTGGTTAAAACAGACATTTGAACCACCCCTAAAACAATGACAATCCAGGTGAGCAAAATTACTGCAAAAGGTCAGCTAGGCAGGGTAGGAGGAATGGATGGATAAGACGATGAGCATGAAGTTGAATTGTAAATTCTGTGGTTTTAATCTTCACAGAGATATGCACCAGACTCTGTTCTCTCTGCTTCTCTTCATAAGCCAGTATTGCCTCCATGACGCAGAGATGTACCGGTTTGTGTGCAGTTTCCTCAAGGTGTTGCAACCAAGACTCTACCTTTGAAGCAAAAAACCCAAGCATGCATAAATGGTACATTTGATACTAAAAAGAAAGGAAGCTAATCTCATTAATCTTTACAAAGGATTTTCTTTACATTAAAGTTTTTACTAACTTGAAACAAAAGCAGACTTTTTCCCTCCATTTTCTCTGTTATTGCCTCTGCATTAGGATTTAGATGAGATGATAGACATTGCTTTGTTTTACATATCCACTTGACTGGAACACCCAGACATAATGTCTTAGAGCTCCAAATATGAAAGTCTGAAGTTTTTGTGTTCACAGACACAGAGTAAGCCCAGACAATACAGTCTTTCCTATGTCTCTATGTACTCAAATGTAGCTGTATCTTGGAGAAACTATCCCTAAGAGGCAAGCTGCATATATTTGTCCATTCAGTCTGAGGCCTCCCTGCTGAGACAATCAATCATTAGAACCACAAGCAACATTGATTTTATGCAATGTGAATGCTTATGCATTCAGTACTGTTCTGAGAACAATAAGTTATTGTCTCAGAAGTTGCTGATCTGTTCTCTCTGACCTACCACTACACAGTTAGCACAAATACTGGCTGGCCAATCAGCAAATATAAGGCTCAAAACCAGCTGAAACCCTGTTCAGATGATAGGGGACGTGTGAGAGCACTGGAGGTCTGGAGAGGTGTGTGCTAAAGGATAAGATAGGAGGGGATGTGAAACTATATAAAAAAAGATGAAATAAAAAGGGCAGACAGGAAGTATGAGAAATGCAACATTTAACCATAATCTTGATCAGTTCTGTGACTTTTAGTACCTTTTTTTCTTTTTCTTTGCATCAAAACAGTAAGCTCTCTACACTTCTTTTAAAAAACACCTTATGTACAAGAGGTAGATAGACAATGTATTAAATTTTTAGTAAATCACGCAGCTTTGGGTAACAAAATGTTCTGGTTTTATTATTATTTGTTTATTTATCATTATTTTTTCAAAATTTACATTTTTAAAAGTAGCATCCCAAAGAGGGCAAAATCCATGAAGGAGGTTTCACATAATTCAACACACCTGGCTCTACATTTGTCATGAAACAGAATATAATCCTTTTCTCTGCCCAAGGGCAGCATTTATAGATTCCTCTGTATTCTCTTGAAATTTATGATCAGCAACTCTGCCAAAAAGTATGGTAAGATGATGGGCTACCCACACCCAAAAATAGAAGATGTATAAGGAAGCCATTTACCTTAGGTTTGTGCCAATGACACTAATGCATACTTCTGTTAAACTGGATGACTATCTGAGTGTTGTATGATTACTACACAAAAGGTTTTTATGGGAAAAGCTAGAGCAAAATGGTCACAGATAAATCAGTGAATGGAGTTAATCACACTACTCTTCTGACTTTCAGTTGTCAGAACAGTCTGAAGGACAAAGATATCTCAATATAAAACCGAGAAGTCTTGAAATTGTTATTAATTATGGCTAGTGCTTATATCCCAAATTACCTATTGAGGTCGAAATGACTTGTGTAACTAGATATCTCCCCAAAGACCGTGGACTTTGAAGATCACTGTCGATACACCAGCATACTCTGTTCCTGACAACTAGAACAGAAGATTTGTTTGGCTGCTCTTATATGTGGGTGAAAAAAATCGCTGAGATTTAGTTACATGAAGAATCTGTGAGAGTCTACCATCATGTTTGAAAAGGCTCCGTGTTCGAGCCTCACAAGTCCTTCATCCTCTTGGAAAGTATCAGTTCTTCTGTTGCATGTCACAGCCCTTCAAAAAAAGGCTTAGCCTGAGGCACACTAAAAACTGTAGCATTGAGAATTGATGGCTGTGGCTGGATAGTAACTGAGGCCAGGAGTATCACCTGGCATGTAGATAACATAGTATGAAGCTCCTGAAATACATCAAAGTGCCTGTGCTTTTATATAAATTGTTCTCAAAGCATCACAAAACCCAGCAGATTATTGTTCACAGGAGGAACACAGAAGGACAGTTACAAAAACATTCCTCGTACAATAGTCAACAGCCTAACAGATACCATAGATCTTTCAGTCTTACTTATCATCACTACACATAGTATGCCTGAAATTTGATCAATCTGTGCTAGAAGGAGAATAGATTTGATGATCTCACTGACCTTTTCCATTTCTAATTCCTGCAAACCTACAATCCAAAAATCTAAATAAATGCAACTTTCACTGACTAAATTTTCAGCAAAGACAGCCCAGGACCTGTAACACGTCTCTCATTTCTCTTTGCTGAATACCTTCTACTTGTCCTAGCTGGGAGAAAAAAATGTTTACTACCTTCCTTAGGCAAAGTGTTCCTGTTTGCAAAGTAAATTAATGCTCAGTAACAAAGGTGCAGTTCTATGATACTGTCACCTCATGCAGTTAGCTGGACAACTTGTCTTTCTGTAGACAAAATGAAGTACATTCATACACAAAGAGGCTCACCTGTTTTGGCTGTGTTCCTTTTGAAAGGATGTCTAGCAAGTCTGCTGAAAAAACAAAATAGAAGCAAGGAAAAGACGTGCTTTGTTTCTTCGTACGCAGATAAAGCTTTTTCACAAAGAGAAAGTCTGAAAATATGACAGAGATTTTAACCATACGTGCCTTTTATCATCCTAAAAAAATAAGCCAAAAATTCCCTCCCAGTTAAGGTAAAAATCAGACCAAACAGTATAACAGAACAACACAATCCACTTTTAATTTAAAGTTATAACAATGAACACAGCTGTAAGGAACAGAGAAGGTGGCAAACCTTATATGTTTCCTTTCCAGAAAATGAAAGGGAATATCATCTTGTAATAATTAAGACCAAGGAACCCAAGAGAAGGGAATTTTGCCAGAAAAGTTCCTAAAAAGGTAAGTCTGGCTAGGGGCAAAATCCTCTTTGACCTTCCAAAGAGTCCAGCCTCAGCAAGTAAGGGACAAGAAAAAAAGTTCCTACTCAACAGGGCAGTTAGGTGCAGATAAATGAAAAAAAAACCCAAACCCAACAACACAAAACAACAAAGAAAGCAGCAGAAAAGAACCAGTTGAATGTGAGTGCAAAGTAGCCACTTTTTTCAAGATGCATATTTTATCTTTGATGTATGAATACATATTTGTATTGACACAAGAAGTGAATAAATATACTTTTACAGTAAGACATGCTGCTGTCCACATTTTTAAACTGCAGCTTTAAGTGACTAGAAATATATTTAAAATTTCAAACATAGAGCTTCCCTATAGAACATTATAATATATTAGCTTTACAGAATTGCCCATGATGAGAACTTTCCCTGGCATATGTGGATTGAATTACAGGTATATTGACAATGCAAAATCTTTACTATTGAAGGGTTCAGTGACTTTTTTTGGTCAGAATGAACACTTAAGGCACAATGTTTTGTGTCAAGTTCAAATGTTAAGGTTGATTCCTGTACTTAACTTTGCCAACATTAAATAACAGACCATAAACTTGTATTTTAATCATCACTGTCCTAAATGACATGGAGTTCAGCAGAAGAGATTTCTGCAGCTCAGAAGTATTATATCTCTGTGTGATTCCAAGAGGTTAAAAAACTAACAATGAGTAAATAAAAGAAGATATTAAAGATATGTGAAGGAATGATCTCCAGAACTTTGTCTCAAATCATGTCACCAGCAACTGCCAGTCCATGTAAAAGGAAAATAAGGCAAATAATTACTTTGATTTTAATAATAAAAATGCAAAATCCACTTCTGATATTCTCCCAAGTAAGCCTGAGACCCTCATAATAATGTTAATTCAGTGGGTTAGAAACAAGTCTATGAAAGAAATACTCAAATTAACAGTCAATATGGTATTATTTAGGAAATATTCTAAAGAATTCAAATGCAAGATATAAATTAATAGAAACTAATAACTCTACTAACTTTGAAGTCTGTTGATCTCATCAAATTTGTTTGCATCTTCAAGGCAGCTAGCTTCTGATGTTTTCAGAGCCAGTGAAAATACTTTCTAGAAAAGACCATGAGCGTTGAACTACCATCCAAATGAAAATGACAGAATCTGCCATGTTTATTTTGCCAACCTTTCACTTGTTCAGTGAAATATACCACATATTTACTTTTCAGAATTATTTGCAGCTGAAACTAGAAAAATAAAAAGAGAAAAAACTGTACTAATCAAAATAATTTATCGAACAGAGGAACTAGAGCTAGTAAGAGCTTAACAAATTCTCCGGTAACTGTTATTGTATATCACAACATAAGATATCTTTAAATAATGAAAATGCACAGCATATTATTAAAGGATTAAAAAAAAAATAGAAGAAAATACAAGCTTAGAAAGCTGTGATTTTGTTTAACTCCTACATGGAAACAGCAATTTTTTTTAACACATGCAGTTACATAGCATACATGTAAATTCTCACTACTAACACCTGAAGAAAACATAACTCTCTGCAATAATGATTCAGGAAAAAAGTTTTAAATAAAAGTATAAAGAAGGGAGTGAGTAATATTGATACACTAATGGTATTGCTATTAATTAAATCCTTACCTGATTGTTATCTAAAGTTTCAAGCAGCTATTCAT